TACCACCGGACATTATCATTATAAGAAATAAAAGTTGTTACCACCGGACACTATCATTATACCCACCATCAGCATCGTGTATAAAAGGGCATCACTGAGTGAGGATGCCTCATTCGAGAAGATGGCTCACTGAGGAAGACCTGACTCGACACGAAGGCGGAGCTGCAACGTCGAGACGAACAATAAGCATGGACCATCGACTCGGATCATCGGCTCTGAAGAAGACGAAGACGTCGTCGAAACATTAGCCGAAAACAAATAAATATCATTATCAACCTCATGTAAGCTCATCAAAGAAAGAATACATATTGATTAGTGATACCGAAGTTCAAGGAAAGTCGGTTTCGAAATATTACTGCCAATAGTTGTCAAAAACACACGATCATCTATGAAACAACTGACTCTTTTTTCAAAATCTTGAAATTCACGCAGTATCCCGTCACATGGAATGCGTAATTCTTCCTTTCCTTCATCAATGTTGAGATTGATCAAAATCGCTTATGTCCTTAAATCTCTGACGAACTTCTTCAATGGTTGACTTTTTTGTACAAAGTGGTGGACTTTAATGTTGAGCATCTTTGACTTGGTAAATAAAAAGTGAAGGATAGAGCTCTCAGTGTTGATCAATCCCTAAGGGATGCGCCATGCATTCGAGTTTATTAAGCATCGTTGAAGGTGATTGAATTTGGCCTTTACAATGACTCGTGGTGCCCTACCGACGTACAGAGCCAGTGTTGTTATCCTCCCAGACAAGTCCGGTACCAACTTGCCGACTACGGAGGGATGGGAGGTTTGGTGAGCCTGGGGCGCGGTGGTCGATCCCATGTGTACTACAGGACGCCTCCGACCACTGCGCTACACGCACTTGATTTGGTGACCTCCGAATGTTCTTTACATCCACAGTCTTTACGACACTTATACTAACATGATTTATGGTGCTTATTTTCTATGCCCCTTATCATAAATCCTTACGTTATTTTTGTTCTACATGTTCAGAATAAACCCGCAAACATCACAAATACGAGCGTAATGTAGTTCAGGGTTTCGTCTCCTATGTAGTGTTTCCCAGTTTGAGAAGACGTTCGTCAATCGAACTACCCGTGGCTATAATTTTTCCAAAAGCAGATAAAAAAGTGTGTCATAATTAGTGATAAGTTCTTGGTGTCACTTGAACGACGGAGCCCAGGGGTTTTATGTGTGGCAGGGATGCACAGATATTTCATTGGTGCTCGCTCGTTTCGTTCAATGGATTTTGCGTGACAAGCGGTATTCAAACATCGACAAACATGGTTAAAATGCACAAAGATATATAAGACTCAAGTTGGTGTACCTAAGCAGAATTAAGTAGACAAAATGAAACTAAGGAAGGAAACAACGACCACGATGTCAACAAAAACACTAGCCGGAGCAATTTTTACAATGCTCCGCAGCTGTCTTTTGCAAAGGTGTGTATGTGCAGTCCACAGATTTGCCAGCGTCACTTGTTTTGAACCTCAAAGTAACCATATTATAGAAAGAATAATATTAATAGTGAAATCCTGAGCTTATCTGATAAATCACGTTGTCACTTAGATTAAGATGGGGATGCGTGTGGTGCAGTGGTCGAAGGCGACTTGCAGTACACATGGGATCGACCTCCGCGCCGGAGGCCCATCAAGCCCTCTACGCCCCTAAGGTCGGCAAAACAATACCGGGCTTGTCTGGGAGGATGGCAACACTCACTCGATGCATTGGTAGGCCAAGGCCATCGCAAGTTATTGTAAACGCCAGATATGCATTCAATCAGCTCCAGTGATGCTTTATGAAGTCAATGCATGGCGCAGATTGATAAACGCCACGAGCTTTATCCTTTATCCTTTATTAAGGCGATCTCTCCGCTGAGAAAGTCACGATCCGTTTAATTGACTATAAAAAACGAGGGACAAAACGTTCGGCGCGGGTCAATCTTCCAAGGATGCGCCATGCACCCAACTTCTTCAAGCATCACTAGAGGTGATTGAATAGAATATATATCTGACCTATACAAGGACTTACGATAGTCCACCGATGTGTCAGGTCAGTGCTACTACTACCCTCCCAGACAACTTTGATACCAATTTTCCGAGCCCTGAGGGATAGGTTTCGCGAGCCTTAAGCGCAGGATTGCACCAAAGAGCATGTGCGTATTGCAGAGCACCTTTGAACACTGGGCTACACCACACCTCATTCTTGACAATACTGCGAAAAACTCAATGTTGCATTCTCAGTGCTGATACTCGGATATGTTCGTTAAAAATAAAGAGCCAATCTCCTGGTATAAAATAGGAGAGGTTGGTCCAGTGGCGGGTGAATCACAGCGCACTGAACAGGTCCTCTACCAGCGCGCTTTTACTGCCTGGCTTGCTTGTTTAACTATGCAAATTCAGTTTGGATAAGTCACGGAGAATTGTTTTGCCAGTTGTAACACTAGTTAAAAGATCTGATTTAGTAAGCAACAGCAGATAACAATTTCACATTTGCATCATGCAAAAAGAAAACTACTGAACAATCCAGCTTCAGGCTACGATCAACTGGCCGCTATTTCTGTGCGATCTCAATCCTTTGAGTTTAATTAGAAGAGTATCCACCTCTACGCTCTCAATAAATTCTTATGAAGCTAGTAGATTCCAGTTATTATATTGATAGCAGTTGTCCAAGATCTACCAGGCCACACGATGAGCCTCCGGCGAAATCTAAAACCGTATTGTGAAACAAACTTCTCCACCTTTTCCTCAAATATGAGGTTTACTAGGACGGACATGTATGGCGCAATGGTCGGAGGCACCCTGTAGTACACGTCGGTTTCATTTCCGCTCACCAGGTTCACTAAGCTTCCCACGCCTCCGGGGTAGGCAAATTGGTACCAGACTTAGAGGATGGCAACACTGGCTCGATACATGGGTAGACCACCGCAAGTCATTGTAAACGCCAGATATGCATTCAATTACCTCCAACGATACTTAATGAAATCGAATGCATGGCGCATTCTTCAGGGATTGCTCAACACCGAGAGTTTTTTAGGACTTGTTTATTACGTTTTTCCGGTTCAGTAACCGAAGGGTAACGTAAGAGGAACGGTTGAGAGCAGTTAGGCAGATGACGTATAAACCACCTAATATACGTAATAGAACGAACCAATTTATAAAAGTTCAGTACCAATAAGCACATCAACAGTCCAAAAAAGAAATAAAGGTTTAAAAGCCAATTAAGAAGACAAACTATACCACAAAGGTGAAGAGTACTATTTCGTATGGAAGCTATGCAGCCCTTACAACAGCTCGATCTGTTGTTTCATTGGAAACTATAAGCAAACTCCACAATAACATCTACTAAACAGACTACTGGAAAAATCTATATATATACACAAAGAATGTCCAGTAACACAAAAACTACTACTTTAGGAATGTCAAAACGGAACTGGATAAAGTGGAAACTGCGCTCTATCGACGTTTTCCGGCACGAGATCAACCATGAAACAAAGAGCCCCAGAGAGCCCTTCGAAGAGACTAAATGGTGAGTCCGGTGTTCTTTGAGCTGCCCTTATCTTTTTGTCGAGAAGAAGTAACCCGAAGCAACGAGCTCGTTGGAGCCACACCTCATTGCCAGAAGCACGATACAGCATTAGAAGAGCGTAACCTGTAACACTACAACTAATGAATTTCCTTTTTATCAACTATTAAGACTGCTCACCATTTCCTCCAACACCATGGCATATTCCAGGTCCTTTTTTCAAAACTCCTTTCTCCCATATTAGTTCACCACAACGCAATGCTGCCTGAAGTGTATGTGAGGTACTAACATAAGTAATGCAAATAAACCACAGGATGTTTCCTTTTATCGAGCATCCTTTGAAAGTGAGTGGAGAAACAAACGCCGAAAATTAAATGGAAAGTGGGTCGACACGGCAAAGTCACCGGGTTTAGACGGCTTCAGTTACGTCTCAACTTCAAAATGATTTACCAACTTGTCCTGACCTACACTTAGTCATTAAAGCACAAAAGCGTACTTCTACTGACAATCTCGTGTTTACCGATATATTAGGTTGTTCAGAAATAAATGAGCGTATTAAACTCTATTATTTAAAATGTCATAACTTACTTCGAACAAAACTTTAATAACAAAAGCAGAAACTATTTGGATCTACGCATTTTTGCCAATGAGAAGCAAGTTTATTAATTCCAGTTGCTTAAAATCCTGCACTTCTGGAAACGATAAATTCGTTGAAGGTATTTTTTGCGTCATCGTAGTTGCTGAAGCATTTCTCGCGTAGGGAGTTGTCAAGACGCCTGAAGAGGTGTTAGTCGGTAGGCGAGAGATCTGGTGAATATGGTGGATGAAGTAAGGTTTCGTAGCCTAACTCGTCCAACTTCTGCAGCACTAATTCTGCAACGGTTGCTTACGGTGCATTTCGTCGATTTGTTGGCAACACTCCTCTGCCGTAATCGTTTCGCCTGGATTCTAAAAGTTGTGGTGAACCAGCCGGCTGCAGACCACCAAGCAGTCAACATAACCCTTTGGTGCAATCGCGACTTTGGGTAATGCTGTGGAGTCTGACCGCAATACAACCATTGAGTTGAACGTAGCTGGTTGTCGTACAGAATCCACTTCTCGTCGCACATCACAATTCGATTACAAAAAAGGTCGTTTTTCTAGCGCAGAATAAGAGCAGACAACACTTTAAAACGGCGATGTTTCTCACTGTCGCTTAATTTGTGTGGCACCCTATGCGTTTTTTTTTCCTATTTTTTTTTGTCTTTCCTATGCGATCCAAATAAATGGAGATTGTTCCTGTGCTTACGCCAAGCGGTTCTGCAAGCTCTCGAATAGTTGTTCGCGTTTTTACTTCCACTCCTGCCTTCAGTTCGTCGTCGTCAAGTTTAATGAGTCGTCCGCGGCCTTCCTTACCTTCGAAGTCAAAAGCACCAGATCGGAATTTCCAAAACCATGTTCGCACCGTTGATTCACCAACTCTACCTTCACCTTGAACTTCATTAAACCCGTCTCTGGTGAACTATTACCGAGTTTCAACCCATAAAAAAAATCTGACGAAAATTAGTTCTTGACATCTAAAACTGCAAAGCTCAAAATTGATTGGAAAAAATCTAAATTTCGACGAAATATGACGGAACTGCTAGAAAAAGCATAAAATCAGCTTTCTAATGATATAAAATATTGAAAGATACAAAGGATATTTTATTGCTAAAAATACATTAAAACAATAAATTTTAAAAGGCTCATTTATTTCTGAACAACCAATTACTTAATCTCATGTAAGGCATGTGGTGAAAAATAAACTGGCGAAACAGAGATAGACCATCTTGTGTCCGCATAAAAGAACATCCAAACAGGAAGCTCAAAAATTGATAAAGTACTCCATTACGTGCATATAAGCTACAAAAGTAACGCGAAGAACTATTGCAACGTTTTGGATAAGTTCTAAAAATACAAAAATGAAAGGTAAAAACGAATGCCTCACAATTACACGGTCTAGCGTCTTTTCCGCTGGTTATTTCATCTGATTTAAATGGTTTGTTTATCTGACTGGGTTTCGTTCGTCATCCCACGTGAAAAAACGCATAGGCGACCTCACACCTTATAAAACGGCAACTATTTTTATTCATAAACTGGCCCTCTCTTATATCATTGACTTTCATTAGTACTATAGACAGTTCACCAAATAATAAGTACAGCATCAGATACACATCCAGGCTCCAAAGAAGGCGAAGTCGTCGGAACGTCAACCATCGATAACTGATTCCATACTCGTGTCAGTTCAACAATACATATATATATATATATATATATATATATATATGTATACATATATATATATATAAAGAGCTACATATATCCTTCATTAATGCTAAGGCTAATACGGTCTTTTACGTTAAAATATGACATAGTTCAACAAATCAGCTAGCTTCCAACAAGTATACCTTAAAGTACTTCTGGTCATCATAAAGTTTCCACAGTGTCAAACAAAGAAGTACGACACCCGGAGCACCATGGCACCAGTGCACTAACTGATCATCACCACGTTCCCTGAAACAGTTCATAACACCTCTATGTATTTGCGATAGTGCTGACTTCTCAACAACTGCCGATAATTTTCTACTTACTAGAACTTGAGAACTTTAAAACTTAAAAATATTGAAGAGACGTTTTCTCTTCGAAACTGTCTTAGACTCGAACTTTCAAAAGAAGCAACGGAAAAGCCCATTTTTTTCGTTCTTAAACATATGCAGAAACCAGAAACGTCTATAAATTGGGCCCTCATAGACGAGACCTCGTCTGGTTCAAAAAAATCGCAAGTACAAGTTAGTGCAACAAGAAAACTTGGCAGCAACTGTAGGCTCCAATACTTTTTTAAAACTTATAACATCCACTAATAGCTGAGAGATTTTCGTTTAAAGATGAAATGCGCATTTAATATCGGCAAGTAGGTAGTGCAGTAGTATACACGACCACGACCATAAACGTATGAAAAAGCGATAGATTAGAAAAGACAAAAGCAATTTAATAAATGATCCTATAACTATTACCTGCCAAACCATTTCACACTACTTGCGAAGTTTCCTTCATCATCTTGCATGGAAATCAGCCAATCAGCAGATTTTCTAACGTCACGTTCCTCAGCCTCTGATAGAAGATCACGGAAGCCAAAAATAACTTGTTAATCATATCGGAACGTGTACAGAATTAAAATAGTGAATACTGTTATAGGTCTTTATCAGGCATAAAGCCCCTTTAATTCAACCTTTGTCAAAGAGAACTAAATTTAATGGTTGTTATACATACCCAAGAGCCATCTGAAGAATTCCTGCAAGTCCATGAGCAGCTCCAAGATACTCTGTACCATGGTATTCATACATCAACGGGCACGGTGATTCCCGCTGCCTCGAATACCTATTCGAATTTTTTAAACCTCGCAAAATCCAGCAGAACCTGTCATGAAATTATTACCATTTTTCTCACTTTATTTTGTATGACCCAGCACCTCGGAAATCGCAATCTTCTCTGGATTGGAAGGAGCAACTTGGTAACAAACAAACGTGATACCAATTTCCCGAATTAAGAAAGATGAACGACTATGGTTACCTTCGCAAAGGGTTAAACGAGGGCCCTGTGCACATTGAACAGCATTAGGCTTTCAGTTCTACCTGCGCCGCAATCATGAGACAGTAAAAATAATACCCATGAACTATACGAACTTGGTATTCTGAGCACTTTTCGACCTTACCCAGGTGGAAAACGTTAAATATGCAGTAGAAAGACAACTTATCCATGTTGTGAAATTGAACAAATAAATAGTTAAAGTTTAAGATCAACCTTTGGCCTGACGCAATCATAGCCGATAACACTTTCCGAACACATGTAGTTGACACCAAAGACGAATCGATGGTTAACCTGGAAAGATCATCAAATTAATAAATTCCCTAAAAGTTATGGGATAACTCTATAAACCTGTTCATCAACTCCGACGAAAGAAATACAACACCTTACCTAACCCACAAAACACCGCTGAGAAATCCTGCACGCCCAACCAAGATTTCATCACTAGGATAATCGTCCTGGAATAGTCAAGCTTAAGTATTAAACCATTACTTAAAAAATAGGATCATTACTAACCCTTTCTGGAAAAAAATCCTAATTCGAAAACACTTTAAACACAGAACTAGCTCTTAAAAATAGTTTAGAACTAGCTTTTACTATTTGCATTGAATATAAGTACGATTTACGGCAAAGAGATATAGTTAAGGGAAGGAAACTGAGTATTTAGAACGACAAGCTGGCCCAACGAGTCTGAACTTACCATATTATGCTTATAAAAACTTACCCGTGCAACAATATTAGAAATCTGCTCAACCTTTGCGATCAGTTCCTCTCTGCGCTCAGGTTTGTTCATTTGAGTGATGTATACACCCAAATCTCCACACAGAAAGCGTGCCTGTTTAGAGGAACTACCTGAAAACAAAGATATAAGACAAAGCGATGAAGGACCAAGAAATTTGATCCACCTAAAATTAAACAGATAACTCGATTTGGTGGTTAACTAAGAACCACTCATAAGAAACCATTACTGTACTACATTTTAAAAAAAGCAATTAATGGCGAATTGTTGGCGTACGTATATGCTTCTATCTTAGACAACTACAATTAATTTCCTGCATGTCTACCGCTTAACATATGTATTTGGCATAAACTTACATCAACAACCCCAAAATGAATATAAACAATAAAAAGGATAAGCCTGTCGGCGTTGATCAATCTCTGAGGGATGCGCCATGCATTCGGTTTCATTAGGCATCGTTGGAGGTGAATGATTACATACCTGGCTTTTATAATGACTCGTTGTGGCCTAGTGATGTATCCCCTCAGTGTTGTAACCCTCCTAAACCTATTAACAAGTCTGGTACCTATGTGCCGACATTGGAGGGATGGAATACTCCTCGAGCCTGGGCGGCGGGGGTCGGTCCCACGTGTATTGGATCGCGCCTCTGACCACTGCGCTATGCGCGGCCTCATAATGAATATAGTAACGCAAATTAGTCGCATGAATAATAAACACCTACTCTTCAATGCTCGACCACAAAATTGCCACAGTTGCTCGGAAACATATGAAGCTTTCGAACCCACGATCGGTGCTGCTTTTTGTAGTGCGAAGGCAACTCCAGACAGACCAGTGTAGGGGCCAGCTATAGAAAAAGCGTTATGGTACTTACGGCAGCTGAGTCTATGTTGTGTATTCCTACAACGTTTCCCATTTATACGATATACCGAAAAACTACTGGGAATTCTATTCATGCAAACAGTCCTATCTCTATTTATTCATATGTTCTAATGAACTGGTCTTGCTAAGCTTATGCGAGGAAGGTGTAAGTCTCCATTGTTGTTGTTGCTGGCTTAATCCCTTGCTCAGTGTCGTGCTATTTTGAGTGAGACTCTCCCTCTTGACCAACAACGAAAACAAAAACGAAAACGACAACCACAACAACAACTTATACGAACCTCGCATTAGCTTAACAAGATCAGTTCATAACAACATATACATAAATATGTCGATTACTTATGTGGAGGTTTATAGAAAGTCGGATATTTGAGTACTATTCCTTGTATACAGCACCATACACAGTTCTTATGCGGTGTCGACTAATTTACTGATCTAGAACTCGTAATACACTAGATAAAGAAGTTATAAAACACCACAGTTGTCGAACAACAGTTTTCATCACTAAAAAGTGAAGAAAATCTCGGTGCACGTAACCAACCATCAGCTCTTTCTTCATCGTCTATTTCCCTATCAATAATCTTCTCTGCGATAATACGTACTGCTTCCTTCAACCATTCATCGGTAACTTGCTCAGACGCAGCAGCTTCTCGACCGAGGTAGGGATTCTTAATGAATCGACCCATCTAGAAAAGCAACACGTTCTTGGAAACCATGAAAACTAGGGCTGGGCGCTGATGGCTATACGTTTGCCTAACACAAAAATTAGAACACGGAGCTGCGCAGGAGTTTCTTGGCGAACAGCTGACAGAAAAAGTAAATGGGTGAACATTGAGTAGAATCAACTAAGGACACAGAACAAAGGAGGAAGAGAGTTTGAAACAAGTACGAAACCAGCCTTGAGTTTTACAATCGTTGCAGAAACATAGGATCTGAAACCACAAACCAAACCTGACGAAATATGTTAAGCTAAGAAATGACTAGTGCTTCTACAAGTAAGTTTGAAAACGCTTCTATTTAAGAACCACTACTTTTACACGACCTACTATGGGGAAAAAGTGCGCCGAAGATAGTTGATATAGGTATAACTTGTCGCCTGAAGGGACACCCCGTTCTCTGCTTACCGTTTCATAAGACCAAGCAGAAACAACATTTCCTATTTCTTCATAAGATACTTTTTACGGACCTGAGTTTTTTGTTTCGTGTAAATATGTTGTATCATAGACTTCCAAAACGTTGCATAAGTTAGCAAAAAACATCTCTTCTGGCTGACTCTACGTTTTTCACAAATTAGATCCAAATAATGTAAAAGGTAATCATTTTTTAATTAACACTAGTGTAAACAACAAACATCAATGCAGATAGAAGTTATGGGCCTTGTGAAAGAATGCTAAGAACGTTCCGTTTATTCACAATAACTGGATGAGATGAGAGTAGTATACCAGAACTTGCCGTTTCGACGGAACCAGTTTGACTACTGCTTGATGAGCAGCCCATTGTGATGGCTCCGTAGGTCGAGTTTCGTGTAAACTTATGAGAATGTTCGGCGAAATAATTCTAAAAATGAGACACACTCTTATCACACACTGCTTATATAGTAGAACAATATCTCACTCTAACCGAGAATCCTACACTTACTTGGACACTTGGACGGCCGGTGTTCATTGGTTGTGCATACCCCAGCACAGTTTCCACTTTCTCGGAGTTTTGCTGGTTTAGCCATGGTGGTTCTCTGGACTGCCGAGGTCGGCCTAGCCATAGTTTGTCCCACGCCTTCACCACCACAAGCGGTCGCAGCCCTTGTGGAACAGAGGGCGATTTGTCACCACACGACTAGTTTGATACCAGGGAGGTGGAGGATCCCGGTATTGGTTTACTCTTAGCTCGGCTTCTTGATGGAACGCCGGACTCGTTCTCAGCTTGGGAGGCCCTGCCGGGTGTATGAATCCCCGCGCTGTACATGGCAGCCCGATACCCAGGATCACCTCCCAGCCACGATGAGACGGTAAACCGTTGAGGGGTGGTGGAAGAACTCTATACGTACTTTAAAGAAACTGAAAAAAACGCACACCAGCACCGGGTAGAAATGTGAACAGAAGGCAAACCTCTTTCAGAATAAGTCTAGAAGGAACTGATAACTTAACGAATCGGATTGACAGCAAGTAGTTGGCTCGCACTGTTGTGTGTACAGATGAAAACGAACGTTTAAGCGAAGCTCTCAGTGAAAGACTCCATCGTCGAACAATGAAAGAAGAACTAACATCGTCCACTGTAAGCTAACTGGAATATCCAAGCCTACAATATAGCCAACGCATGCTAAGACATTAGTTTGTTAAACAGTGAGAAACCAATCAGTATTAGTTGGACATTAACTGTTCCTTAACTACTAACATAGATTGTTCGTCTGATACTCCCTTTCACTACTGAAGCCTACTTGGTTTTATCAACATCGGGTTAGCCCAATAGTCCAGAAAAGTATTGATTACTAATGCCGAGGTTAAATGATGATCGATGCGAAAAATATTGATTCCCTACTCAGTCGGTTGTAACGTGGTGAAATGGGCCACAGTTACGGATGCTTACATGAGTTGTATTCAATTCATTGTTAGAAGCGATAGATTTCTAGATACAAGCTTCAAAATCCATAATAGATCCCACAAGTAGCACGAATTCGAAAGCTGTATAGTGATAATTTTTAAGGCACAGAACACGAAGCAAGTTTCGTTTCGTGGACGAAATACCATTTAAGATCTCCAAAGAAGATAAAAAATAGCGCTGCATCTGAACTGATGGGTGCTGCCTGTTTCTAGAAGTTTCTAGAAGTACAGTTTACCAAGAATTCCAGTCATAATTACGGCAGTTCATCCTCAACAAAGGCCAACAAATTTTTCTGGAAAAGCAGGCTATGTCTTTTAGATCTCAAGCTTAAGAGATGGCAAATTCTTCATGAGGGCTTTCGGTCTTACTTACAGTCAAACGGTATCAAATGAGTTGCAATATAGGAGTTTTCGGAAGCATCGACAGAAAATTCCGAAGAAGACGGAGCAGTTAGCATAGATTTCATTTAATATCATACTAATACGATTCACAGCCTTATATAAATCTGTGAAAGCATTCGTGAACAATGTTCCACGAAATGATCATAGAGAGCGAGCGACATAAACAGTTGGAACTTACAATAGCAATCAAATATTAAACGAAAAAGTCAAACGAGACCATACCACTTCCGTCATTAGTACTGGTCTTATCTTACTTCAAAAGCTCCAATTGTTTCAGAAATAACTTCCTACTAATAGCTGCAGCTTAAATCAATTGCTCAATCAAACCACGGAGAATTTTCGCGCTCTGGTATTACGAAAGCGGTTGCGGCGCGTTTATTGGCGGGAATAGATAATTCAAAAGCTATGCATGTTCGAAGCTGTCTCTTTCTTGATTCTGGGGTTCCATTAAGCGATTATGGATTCCGAATTGCTGTTCTCAGCGTTGAGCATAAGATCCGAAGAACTTACCATAGACGAGATGCTATCATGTCAAAAGGATGGGCAGAAATCCAGTGGTCACTATCGTAAGTAATTTTGCCAGTTTAGATTACCTTTTTGATAGTTATGCCACCTTTTTTTGTTCTTTACTTGCCTTCTGGATGTTTTGGAACTGAAAAGAGAGAAATCAAAAGAGAATGGTTGCATGGATTGGACATCTCTTAATAACTGAGAAGATCGACTTTCTATAAACTTCGACATAGATAGTGGACATATCTATTTATATGATCTTATAAACTGGTCTTTTTAAGCTGATTCGAGGTTGATATAGGTCTTCGTTGTCGTTGTCGTTGTTGGTGTCGTTGGTCGATGGCTGACGTTTCGGCGATTTTGCCTTCCTCAGAGCCTGGACGTATTTTATGTTAGAATACTTTAATTATTCGGTGGAAAGTGGAAAAAAAGGCTGAAGTATTAATGAAGATCGAACTTTTAGATATAGAAGTCATGTTGATCAAAAAGGCTACTCACCGCGGTGTTATGTGTGGGACTGCCCGCGTGTTGTTGACGTGGGACGGCGAGCGAAAGCCACCCATAAGTTAAAAAATCATTTTGAAATAAGGCGCCAGGTCACGCATGACATACGTATATTCATTCGATAACTAGTTGAAATCAGATCCAATAATTTATTCAAAACGCCTCAAGTCAAGAGATGTTTTTGTTTCCTGCGCTAAAATCCGGACACTAACTTCAAGGTCATCGCCATTGTGCTTTTGTGCCTTACGTGTACCTAGAACATTTAGCGACAACGACAAGAAAAACCTATACCAACCTCGCATCAGCTTAAGAAGATCAGTTTATAAGGCCATATTAATAACTACAGTATGGATTGAATTAACCTGTAACGTGCGGTGTGGGCACTACGGTGTCCATTTTCAGTTTAATGCGTTCTAAACTTTTTCTTTCACCTCCCTGTGTGTATTCATTCGATAGCTAATCGAAATAAGATCCAAATAGTGGAGTTAAAACCAGAAAAACCGTTTTCGGCACTTGAAGATTTACAAAAAGCATTTGTCTCGGAAAAGTTTCCACTGACCGATGTGGTGATTAACAGTTTCCTGTTCTTTCATTCTGGTCGCTTTGTTTATTGTATGCAATTTATGATTGTGATTTATTTACGATTATTATAATGTGATTAGATTTGTGGTTATTGAAGGCGCATGTAGGGCAGTGGTCGGAGGCGCTATGGAATACACGTGGGATCGATCCAGCATCAGGCTCACCAAGCCTTCTATCCCTCCGGGGTCAGCATATTGGTGCCAGACTGGGCTGGTGGACAGCAGCACTGTCTCAATACATTGGTAGACCATCGCGAGCCATTGTAAAGGCCAGATATCCATTCAATCACCTCCAACAATACTAACGAAGTCGAATGCATGGCGCATCCCTCATGGATTGGTTAACGCCGAGAGCTTTCTCCTTTTAGCTTTTAATTTATGATTATAAAAATACCGAGATAGACTCAAATAATTTCGAATTCCGAAAGCTATGCATTTCCATTCTGGACCATAGTAACAGCTAGTGAATACAAGTATACGTATCACTCATACCCATAGAAAGGTGGAGCAAAAGCTCTTCCACAATCCTTTCGTATTTATGAGCCGTCAAGTACTCTATTTATCGAGAAATTTTTTGTCTTCAAAAAACCAGAGAGTTCGCAGCCAAGAAAGGACTGCTTGTATTGCAGTCGGAGAGCAACGCTAGACGGCCTGCGTCTGCTAGAAGTGAATCCGGGAAAGATTAGGTTTATAAGGTCGCGCACTTGTTATTATTTTACCCTAGCTTTATTTTTCTGTAGGTTTTCGCTAATAACCATTTTTAGGCGTTTTTCTGTCGGTAGCTCGAAATTGCGATTAAATAGCTACCAACTTCTATTCAGTAATATACACATCGAGAGTTCATTGAACAACTGCAGTTTCGAGTGCTGTCGTTTTATCTTTAAATTTTCACTAGAGCTTAAATAATGAGGCAGATTATGTAGTTGGCTTTAGGTGACATACTTCAAGATCTGATTTCTAAGGTCCATAAGGAGGAGCAACTTTGTGAGAATCTCATGGCTACGAAGGAATTATACGCGAAGGAAACATCTTCACTATTAGGTATACGTCAACTTATACCATCATGAGGCGATTTTTCAACAGATTATTCCCATTAACCCGATTTTTCAGGAATGATTGACGGCAGGATCGAACTTGCTAGAGACCTTCTTAAGGAGGTTAGTGAAGTTTTTTAACGACCACAAGCTCCTTTTTTAGGTTAGCGAAAGTTTTACTTTACAATTAGAAGAATCTATTACGATTTCCATGCAGGTTATTAGTGAAATCAGTACAGAACACCTACTACATTTACCGTCGATGAAGGAACTCGTCGCATGGAAGCAAAAGCCTTGACTCTCAGTCCCGCATATATAGTGTGCTTCTTATTTTTCATGTTGTTAGCCGGTTAGATAAGTAGGAGACTTTGCACTGTGAAGTCATCGATAGTCGACATATGCCATAACTTTAGAGAACATTTCCCTACACACCGCATCCTCACTGATAGGAAGATGCCTACTAATTGAATCTGTAGCTGTTCTAGATAAGTATTATATCTACTTGCGATGGTTCATTTCATTTACAATCTGAGATTAAAAAACTAGTACGTAATAAGGGAAAGACAGACATAAGTTAGTTTTAACAAGGACGTTTTAGACATGTTTCTTGGGCTACTTCACGTAGTACCTTTTCTTGCTGCATGTGTCATAGACAAGCCATTGGTGGGTCCGTGTAAGCCACGAGCACCGCCTGCTCTTGTTCTTACCTTTCCTAATTTATGAAATGTGTCTAATAGCGTCGAAGCGAACATAGTCCTTCCAGCACTCATCAGTCAACTAGTTAATCTGTCATTTACAAGATCTTTCCATTTATCTGTTTCATCTGTTTACTTTTTATCCGTAAAAAACCTTTCGCTGCTTCAATTATACCACAGCAATTTGGGTTATAAGTCATTTTGACAAGAGGGTGGAAAAAAGCGATGTTATTTCGCCTTTATCGATGGCTTCATCACTTTGAGAAATCGAACTGAAGAGAAGGCAAAAACTGAGTGAACTGAGAAAATCATAGAACTGTAAATAAACAAGAACAAAACTCATGAAAAAGCTATGGTGCCTTGAAGAAGTGAGGTCGAATTAGGTGTTTCTCCAATAAGGAAAACTAAGTTAGCGTTAACATTTTGGATTCAACTAAATTGATTAACGACATGAAGAACGAACTGTGCTGAGCGTATCACGGCGCTGTATTTAGTTCTCTAGAGGAAATTACAGTTCTTCCAGAGCGCTGCATTGCAGGGATAACTATGCTGACGGTTCATCTTCTACGCACCATTCAGATAGCTCGAATACCGTGTTTCCTGAATAGCAACTTCCACAAGCAACATTGTACTAGGCTTTCCAGTTTGTCAAGTATAATGATTGCATGATCTAGAGGACAATACATTGAAATGGAAACATCAATCGTACTATATGTAGATCATGCTATGACTCTTAAAGACCCATCACCGTTTAAATCACAAACCACTTTACTGTGAATTATTGGATAGAGGATAAAGGATTAAGCCCTCGGCATTGATCTAATAAAATAAAGCTTAGGACGTTGATCTATCTCTGGGAGATGTGCCACGCATTCGACTTCATTAAGCATCGTTGGAGGTGATTAAATGCATATGTGCCCTTTACAACGACTCGCAGTGGTCTGCCGATGTATCGAGATGCTATCCTCGCAGAAAAGTCTGGTACCAATTTGCCGATCGCGAAGCAATGGAGGGATCGTTCGGTATGAAGCGCAGGGGTCGACTATGTCTGTATTGCAAGGCGCCTTCGACCAATGCGCTGTACGCGCCCATCGTTGTCAAAGACAAAAGTAATTGGAAATTGTATAACATACGGCTTGTTAAGTTACGCCGCCCAAGTGTCCAAATGTTTAATTGACTTGATTGAGTTGAGTTCACAATGATAAGATAGAGATATGAAACAGTTTAGCATCATTTTTATCGATTCCAGTATTTTTAGAAGCAGCTGTTGATTCAGAAGAAGGAAGCTTTAAAAGCTCTATTGTCGGCCGAAAATATCAGTATGGCTGAACTCCTTGTAAGGAAGGAGAGAGTGAACAATTTGGAAGGTAAAATTACTCGCGTGCAGCAGTTAACAGAAAATTGCGAAAGTCTCAAAGACGAAATAGCCGAATATTCCAAATGACTTGCTTCTATTTGACTATGCGAAAGTTTGTCTCTATCTCCAAGTGCCAACTTTCTATTACTGCAATTTTTCGTTATTGCATACTATATTCCATTCAAATCAACGAGCTCTTTGTAGAAGTTTACGAGTGATCCATCCATAGTATTATGGTTATGACACTTTATTGGCATTCCGTGAAATTTGTGATGCCGATACTTATAGAGTAATTTTGTTCCTGTTAAGCACTCATTGTTAAACCTTCTATTTAAATTATGACTGAGGTGAAGATTACTCAGGAAAGTAGCTGGTTCATGTAAAACCACTGTATTCTTTGTTGATCTGGAATTATACGAATAACAAAATTGATGAGTAACTTTGGTTCTAAAGTCTAACTTTATTGTTCTTGTTGGTGGGATAATATGCACTACGATTTATTGGCTTTTTGCGTAAGAATGACATATTATTCAAGTTGCTAGTAGTTCAATTTTATTTTATTAACCTCTTACTGCTTCCCTCCCAACGGTTTACCGCCTTTATAGGGAGGCGTTCTTGGGTGTCGGGCAGCGGGGGCATTCATCCTCCAACAGGGCCTCAGAAACTAAGAAGGAATTCGGCGTTTCCACTGAGAAGCCCAGTTAGGAACAAATCAATATCAGGATCCATCACCGCCCTGATAGCAAACTAGTTGGCAAATCTCCCTCTAATCCACAAAAGCGGCGATTGCCTGTGGTAGTGACGACCTGGGGCACAGTTTGACTAGGCTGACCTCAGGACTCCAGGGAACCACAGTGGCAATACTAGCAAAACCCCGAAAAGATGGAATTATGCTGGGGTCTACACAACTAGTGAAGAAGGGTTATCCAAGAGTACAAGTAAGCAAGTACTGTTTCCTAAAGTGGTCGCTTAATTCGGCATTTTAGTACATGAAATTGACATGACAGCAACCTTTAATTTAATGTTTGATTGAAAACGGCTAGAACTTCACAAGGCAAAAACAAATAAAAAGCAAGAGAAAAAAACAACTTGAGGAGATTTGACAAGAGTATAAATCAGGCAATAGCAAATCTCAATTCATAACAACGCGATAGAACGCGTAGAATAGCCGTAGATGAAGGATGGACAGCACAGAATGTTTGAAGATTTGCATATGTACAAATACGCCAGAGTATAAAATAAGGAAGCATACTTGAAGGATTAAGTCACATTGGAGTTCGCCACAAAGGGAAATATTAAGTTTTCGTGATGACTGAATGACGTCATAACAGGCGAAAATGAAGATTTAAATAAGACTGAAACTAGACAATACGAGGTGGTGGAAACATTTACATTCGCTGTGCACGTATATATCAACATAGGCAATAAATGAAGCCCGTAGTGACGATATGAGGAAATTCATGAGTAGTACTATAAGACCATCACTATCGATTATCATAGGCATAGGAATACGAAATAGATACATACCGACTTTAGTGTCCTTCTAAACGATTAATTCAAGGACCTCAGTCTTTTTACGTTTTGAACTTTCTGAGTTAGCAGTAAGCACAGCTGACATTCTGTACTAGTTATGGTCTTATTTTTCATACTCACTGATAATGGGGATGAGTGAAAAGCTAAAAGCTAACAATGCTGGGAGACTAATGGGGACGCTAAATAAACTACCTATTAGAATAGAATAAAGATCAGCACATATAATTATTGTTATAAGAGAAAAGAATCTTCACTGTGAGTCCCTTCTTCTATAAAATAAAATCTAAAGTCTATTAACACCGGTCTGTTTCTTTTTAATGCGAATCGAAAGTGTAGCGATAAGAAGAGAGAAGACGTATGAAGGAATGTTAGTTATCAAATCAGGCAGTAGTATTAGTATGTATGAAAGTTATTGCTATTCTATTCGTGAATTTGCCACTCGCCGTCGAAACACAGATCGTAGTCGGTTAGTCAGTAACGGACAGTCGAATCGTCGTGGGACCGGCTTCAACACATTACATTCCATGTATTTGAATAGCGGGAACCAAAATTCTTTTCGATGATGATTTTGTGTAGACAGCTGAAAAAAGATGGTTTCTTTGGAAGTTTTCATACGAGTTACGAACGAAGCTCCTAGAATTTCACTGACCCGTAGCGTTGGATGAGCGACCATTGTATGGTAAGACCAAAATACTCGAGTACAAATGAAATATGAGAGTATGACGTCAAGAGTGTAATGACCACGTGAAATAACTAGAAATACTACACCAACGAAAGCCACGAGCCAGTAGAATGCGTGTAGAATACGCCATCGTCGTGGAGAATCTGAAATCCATTTAATGTTCATCGTTTATCGTATAAATTCACTACTAAGTACAATGAAATGGTATCTTAACAACCGACTTCTCTTCAATCTCCGCATATCTAATCAGAATTCTCTTAAATGACGAAGCTAACACGAGGTTGTTATAGAACTTTTATTCGGCTACGTCTCGGTGTCTACGCCTTTTTCAGAGCAGCATTGAAATGAGGACTCGATTGCCTACAGTTGGTAGTTCTCGGAATGTTGATCCTCGTAGTTGTATCCATTCGGACCTGCTGGACTGGAGCACCGAATGAAGTAACCTCACTCGGCACTGTGTTTTTGTAGAGAACCGTTGTTGATTAAGTGGTTTTCCGTTGGCAATGACTTGTTTCCTGCGAACAGTCCAACTTCATTCAAGCGAAGCCCCACTCCAGATGATCCGGCTTGGTGTGTGGGCAATCGACTTGCGTCGACGCCGTTCTGAAGAGGAATGAAGGCACTGAAGCGTTAGTCAAATAAAAGCTTAATAACACCCCCACGTTGGCTTAATCATTTAGGAAAACAATGAAATGAAATTTTGAGAGAAGTTAATAGATCAGATTAAGAGGATAACACTCTCTTAAGAAAAATTTGACGATTTAAAGAGTAAAATTAATTTCGATGTAGGGTTTAACCTGGATTAGAACACAACGGACGGTGCGTATTTTATAAAATTCTACGCGGCCCTCCAAGGGGCTGGTATAAGCTCCATATGGGCCACAATGAAAATTCTACCTATTGCCTACTACTTTTTCATAGCAGGGTATTATGCCGAAAACAACCACAATGATGGCTTAGATATTTGCAAATATGTCAGCATCACTGTGGTACTATATGGGTCATTCTCTACCTGATTGTTCATTTTGACGCACAGGAACCTTTCCCTACCTTTCTTATAAACAATCCAATGCAGATGTTCTGTGGCGCCCGCCGAGAAAAGCTATATTCACAACATGGAAATATACAGAAAACTTTCTGTTTAACGAGTTCAATCATTGCTAATTTGAGTGCCAATTGACTAATAGTCCAATTCCAATCGCTCTAATGAATCATAATTATTTGGATATTTGGAGAGATGGATGACCCATCTTCACTCGTTGTGTGGGCTCCAGTGGCTTAGCCATTATGGTTCCCTGGAATCCAGAGTTCAGCCTAGCCAAAGTGTGGCCCACGTCGCCAACACCATAGGGCAGTCGCAGCCCTTGTGGACCAGAGAGAGATTTCCCACCGTGCAAATAGTTCGATCCCAGGACGGTGGTGGATCCTAGTATTGGTTTATTGAGCTTCATGATAGAAACGCTGGGCTTCCTGTTGGAAACGCTGGACTCCTTCCCAACTTAGGAGGCTCTACTTGGTAGACGAATCCTCCCGCTGTATATCGCAGCTCGACACGCAGGAACACCTCCCAGCAATGGTGAGGCGGTAAACTGTTGAAAGGTATGAAGCATGGTTAACATATTGAATGTGTCAATATATAAAATACCGAAATAGACACAGAATAAGTGGCAAAATACTTCCAAATGCTGATAGTGATGTGTCTGCATGGCGAACATAGTGATTTATGTGTCGTTTTCTTGTTCAGCAATCGCGAGGTTTTTAAACAGCATACATTTACTTCCATAAAAACACAATACAATACAACGCTAGCTGACGTTTCGGCAGTATCGCCTTCTTCAGAGTCTGGAAGGGTATACTGATATACAATCTACTAGGCCAAACGCTTCAATAACACACAAAGACGAAAGGCTCTTTGCCCTTTGCCGAAAGACCTGCCCTTCTTAAGCATCGTTTTATAGCTGCGCTTACTTCATCGCTTATAAAAGGCAACATAAACGGGATTTTGTTTTGGCCAAGTGTTTCGCGTGGGTGCGTCGTTCTCGGTCTAGAGGAATCGGTAGCGATAGTTGAAATACCACCGACTACTCTACGTCGCCAATTAGTTCGCAACCGCCTGTATGACCGTCTGTTTGAAACAACAAATTGCGTAATTTGCCCTTACGGCAAGGACGGTGATTGCATGAGTTCAGGTACGATATACCTGATCTCTTGTAGCAATTGCGGAAATGAATATATTGGCGAAACGGGCAGACCTTTGTGTATCCGTATAAAAGAACACCTAGATGGCAAACGAAAACTAAGACGAAGCACCCCACTAGGCACGCATAGGATACAAAAGCATAGCGGAGACGATTTTGAAGTAAAAGTCAATATCCTTGCACAGGAGTCCAAAACACCAGCGCGAAAACTCCTAGAGGCTTTTTGGATCAATGCCAAAAACCCTACAATGAATAGCAGGGACGAATGCCCGGAGGTCATACGCGACCTGATCCCGTACGTTCGCATCGATTTTTGATGTGCGATGGTGCAGTCGTCAACCACATGCGACTATAATCAGCTGTTCTAAACATCCTCATTGGAAGTCACGAAAAAGCGGTGGGTTTTTCGAGAAGTTGTTGATCGTGTAATTACCAAAGAGCCTTTCGTCTTTGTGTAAGTGTTATTGAAGCGTTTGGCCTAGTAGATTGTATATCAGTATACCCTTCCAGACTCTGAAGAAGGCGATACTGCCGAAACGTCAGCTAGCGTTGTATTGTATTGTGTTTTTATGGAAGTAAATGTATGCTGTTTAAAAACCTCGCGATTGCTGAACAAGAAAACGACACATTCATATTCCAATGCCGAGGTTAAGAGAAAGTCGATCCTGGGAACTATAGTGATTTATAACAAATAGCAGCATATATAGCAGTCATACCCATATAGCAACAGAGTAGAGTCTCCTACATAATCTTGTCACGGTTACAACCTCTCAAATTCTCCAATTATAAACAACTTGTCGTTTACTATCAAAAACCAACGTGTCCGTCAACGCTAAAAATTGCGCGCCATTTCTAGCTGCAGGGATACTAGAAACGGCCCGTACTGTGCCAACGTAAAAAGAGTCATGAATTACAGTCTGATGATAAATTTGGGGTTTTCCGCACTAATGCCTACTGTGGACGAAATTTTCAAAACTCAAAAATATTCAGTTTGTTGCAAACAATATAGAGAGAGGGAGAGGTACAAGAACTAAAGGATAGATAAGGAGAGTAAAACAGCGACGAAGAGAAATTCTCATATAATTCAGAACATTGGAAATTGGACTAAGCACTTTAGAAGAACTGCAAGAAGAACTTCTCTTACATTCTCCAATAAACAATGCGCTGACGACTAGCACTATTGTATGTCCACTGTAGATGTAGTCACCGCAAAGCGTATCCTTACCGCTTACGTTCAATCCAATACCAGCCACCATCTTCAACCCTCTCAAAACTATCTCCCAAAATGTGCCATTCTTACCCTGAAATTAAAAACATCCACAAAAGTATCAAACATCAGAATTCATCCCCACCCCCGCTGCTAGGAAATGTCATAACCAACAATGGAACAAGCTTTTTATTTGGAGTTGTTTTTGCTTCACATTCGTACGTGTTCGCAATTGCAAACATCACTGACCTTTCAAACAAGCGAAAAAAACGGAATTGTGTAGACCAATAGACTGTTGATTACAAAAGCATTCAAGCGACTTTGTTTAAAAAAATCCCCTGAATGCCTATGTACACCCATTTTATCGATTTTTTGCAAACGTGTGGACGTACGTTTGTCTGTCCGTAGGAATATTTCTTCTCTGCATCCTGATGATGAAATGTAAATATGTAAAGCTCTTTCTTCCCAATTGAGCAAAAGCATATGCGAAAAGAATCATGACAAAGTCAAACAAAGCTTTATGGACAGTAAACACTGTGTCGTTGACGAAAAAACTTCTGAAACGTACGAATTTTGGTGAGCAAAGGAAGTTTGGATCGGCAACGGGAACTTGAGTGACGATCATCGTGATGCAACGCATTAAGTACAACAACGAGCCGACCATCATCAATCGTCGGAACATTATCCAACGATGTCTGCAATGATTTAACTAAATAAGTAAAAATGAATAGAGAAAAAAGGTATAATGATCAGCTGATTTTGCGAAATGGTGTGGAAAACGAACTGCGAACTACTCGTCCTCTTTTGCACACTTATCACTCCCCACCACTAGTCTTTTCGAAAAACAGAAGTCGTCGATTTTCGTAAATTTGAACAACTGTTGAGAGAAATTCGTATACTTGTGTCAATTCTGTAGGAAGATGGTGACCTCTATACATAATGTTCAACTTTTTAATTACTACCTATTAGATTTCTTCATGCCAAGATAATATGTAGAACGCAACCATAATGATGACGAAGTATTTGCAAAACTCGAGACGCCAAGTCAGGAGCTCACGAGTTACTCACTGCATCACCGAAGCCTTGTTAAGGTCAGTGTTCATTTGTGCTCCCCAGACCACACCCAATGACGGGTGATTGTTGACGGCACTGTTAGACTAAACAGTGAGAGAGAAGGTCGCAGCACTGGTCTCGATGGTAAAGTAGGTAACACTTGAGCCCCGGAAGGGGCAATCGCGGGTTCGAAGCTGATCTGGGTTTCTACGTTTTGCAAATACCTCACATCATTGTGGTTGGCCCATATGCAGTCATGAATAGTTATGAACCCATTTTACGAATAGGATATATAGGGACTGTTCTCTACCATACATAGAACAGTCTATGTTTTATAATTAACCTCGTACGTGTAATTACTCAGCATAAGGTCCGCGTGCTTGCTTTACTTTTATGCATCTTACGCTAGCTTAAACCTATTATAATCTTACATGTACGTTCTACTATGGTCATCTCATTGTAGTGTTATTATAGGCCAAAGTTGTTATAACCTCACACCTGCTTTCTAATATGCTCTGCTCATAATACTTTTAGTACATACTAACCTTATTGTAACCCCACATGCACCTTCTAATATGTTGATCTGTTATTGTAACCTTAAATGTATCTTCTAAGATGCCAACCTCCTATGCCATTACTGCTGTATTTCATAGCACACGCAACATGTTACGACATCAACCAATGGCAGAACTGCTCTTTTTTCTCAAAGGTCCTATCGCGCTCATTTACGCTTGTTATTGTCTTATCGCATGTATTGTTTCGGTATTACCATTACATTATTGCACTGTTATTGCTATGTACGGTTTAATCACCCGAGTTTGAGATTGTGGGTTGCACAACCTGCTAAGAGTGCCGTGAGGCATCAAGAAGAGAAGCAACTACAACATGAAACAATCAAAACAGTTTGCGATTTCTTATAATCTGAAAATTTCATTCAGCATGAGGAATGGTTTGCTCACAGGATTTTTTTCTCATAGTTTTAAGGAAAACTTGGGAATAAAGCTATAACAAAGGGTCCATCAGCAGCCTCAAGGATGATTTCTTACTCTAACTTATTCGCTTATATTTTATTAAGACTCTTCAATGAGAATAGGTAGGTGGTAATTCATAGTTAGCTTCACAACAATGAAATATTACCAGCACCGGCTAGACCGCACTAAGGATAAAGTTTTGGTGTTAAACAATCCCATAGGGAAGCGGTAAACATTCGGTTCCCACTAGCATTTTCAGTTCAGTGGGTTCCAGAACCTTTTTTATATACTATGTATATCCATTCGATATACATGGATGTCATTCATATGAGGAGTCTCGAGCCGGTTAGTTGCGCAGTTAAATGGCGCGTCCGTGGATGGCTCATAGGGGGTTACTCGCCACCAAAAGCGACCTTTCCTTCTCTGAGACGAAGGTGGATCCAGAGGATGTATTTTCTGTTTCTGCTGCGCCGATTTGGCACACACTTTCTGTATTTGCTAAGCGTGTTCATGCGTGCGTATTTCGTTGCGACCTTGCTTATGAGCATTGTATTCTACGAGTCGACTCTACCAAAATCCTACAATCAAGTGGCTGGGAAGTACATGGGAGGCGGTTAAGAGTCGCCTTCAACAAATAAGCTCCATATCCACTCTGGAAAAGACTCGCAAGCTCCTCGTGAGTATGCCTAGCCCAGACGATCAAAGCCCAGCAAGCTATACGTGGGTAGTAGTAAAAGAAACGGGCCTCATTCCCCTGAGCCCGAAACAGCCCCCAGTTCGGCAGTGGGTGAGACGAGTACGGAGAGGCTACTAAAATTTTAGGACTATTTTAAGCTGCCTAAATCACAAAGGACCATGGTGGCTATCTGTACCTACAATGCACACACACTTTGCATTCGTCGCTAGAAGGACTTGATCATGCAAGCAAAAAGGATAAGGTACAACGTCATCGCTCTGGCAAACACGAGACTACGCCACCAATTCAATGCTGTCTATGACACTGGAGAAGAACTCTTCCTAGGAACATGCCACATTAGATGAGTCGGCTGCGTCGCTATTCTCGTCAACACGAGTTTGTCCATGAACATCGATTCATTCGAACAACTAACAACCCGGATCGGAAGTTTACGATTAAGAAGACATGGATCAAAACCGGCTTTTAACAATCCTCGCCGTTTACGCGCCAACATCAAACTATGACGAAGAGGAACTCGAAGCATTCCATATGGACTTGAAGAAGTTCTACAGCGAAGAGCACACATTCTTCAAGGTCATTATTGGAGATTTAAACGCCAAGACTGGACCAAGAAGAACGTCTGAAGAGCGTCACATTGGGACCCACGGATTAGAATGGAACGAACAGGATGAGCGGCTCCCTGTGTTTATCATGACGATCAAGACCATCCATGGTAACTCGCAATTCCAAAAACCCCACCCTCAACGCTGGACTTGGGAGTCATCCAATGGAGAGTGCCATAATGAAATAAACCGCATCATAGTAAATAGAAGATTTTGCCCAACCGATGTCACTGTTGTCCAAAAATTCTACACGAGATCCGACCACTGCCTCCTTCGTGCAACATTCCATTTCTCGCGGAAAGCAGAACAAGCCGCTAAACTGAAAAAACGAAGTCCCACAACCACCGCAAACTGGAACTTATTCAATTCAGTAGTCGGCTGTTGAAAAGATGCCGTTCTCCATAACATCGACAAGGAATAAGATCGGTTCATTCAACATCTTCACGCTAGCGCAGTGAAAACTGAGAGTTCGAAAGTCACCAGGAAACGTCTGTCTCCAGAAACACTCGGGCTAATACGCCAGCGTGGAATAGCACGAGCTGCAGGCAATCGCGAACTAACATCCGAGCTTGCAAAACAATACAGACAGACGATGAAAGAAGATCTTAAAGAGAGAAGAGGAGCACTAATGGTCGAAGCTGCAGAGGCTGGGAAAAGCATTCGCAAAGACCACAGAAGCTTCGGCAATTACAAGACCAAAATGATTGCACTCCGACGCCCAGACCGAACACTTGCCATAAAGGCAATGTAGGTAGTCATTCACGAATACTACTGAAATCTCTTCGATAGCCACGTCCACCTTCTGTCATATGAAATAAGGGGGGATGGATATGTTGTTCCACCGACTCTCCGTTCCAAAATCCAACATGCTATTTCGTCGGTGGAAAATCGAACAGCACCAGGTCCGGACCGGATAAGAGCAAAACACCTGAAGAACCTTCCGTCAGTCCTCGTAAACACACTGGCTCGGATCCTCACCCGTTACCTCTCTGAATGCAAGGTCCCTACTCAGTGGAAGACCAGCAATACCGTGTTGTTGTTCAAGAAGGGTGACCTCCACGATCTCCACGATATCGGCAACTATCGCCCAATCTGTTTTATGTCTGCCGTCGACAAACTTATTACCCGAGTCATGCTAAAGAGAACTGACAGAACACTGGACCAAGGTCAGCCATGTGACCAAGCAGAGTATCGGAAAAGATTCAGTACAATGGACTAGATCCACACGATAACGAGACTCACTGAAGTTTTGCGAGAGTACAAAAGACCTCCAGAGAATGCACCAGTTACTTCTATCTAGGTTGGGAAACCAACGTGACGAACGACTTAGCTCCAGAGGTGAGCAGAAGGAAACGAGTGGCTTGGAGAGCTTTCAAGAACATCAAGAATGTAGTGAGGAAGACAAACAATACCCAACTCCGAGAGTACCTTTTCGACTCAATGATACTTCCTGCGTTAGCATATGCGTCAGACACCTGATCGCTGTGTAAACAGGACGAAAAATCACTCAGTGTTACTGAACGCGAAGTCGAAAGGACGATCTGAATATCCCGTGTCACGCAAGTAAGAGAAGGGATCCGAAGCTCCGACCTGCGTCAACGATCAGAAATCAAGGATGTCGTTCTGTACGGTAAACAGTCGACGATGACGTGGGTCGGACACGTAATGCGTATGAACGACAACCGATGGACAAGAGCCTTCAGTGACTGGATTCAACAGGATGTTATACACACTGCAAGACGATCACCGGCCGACCTGATGCTCAGAATTTTTCACGAAAAGCCTCGAAGAAAGATATAAACGAGTTCCTAGAACGAGTAGAACCCACTGGGCTACTCTTGCACGCGACAGGGAAAAATGGAAGATTTACTGGCGCCCGCTCGAGTTACTCAACGATCAACTGGACTATAGGTGATATAGGTGATGTATATTCATGTGACACATTTTCCGAGAAAGTTCATTGGGCGGCAATTTGATAAAAACCAAGTGTCACTCCATTTTAATCCCTATGGTTAGTGTACGGAATGTGCGTATATGAAAAAAAACGGAACGCATTCAGTACAGGCCGCAAAATAATTCCAGATACAGATAGCAATGTAAATGTACGATGCACAATAGTAACACATTGTAAACATAAGCATATATACACATACATGTACGTATATTCATATACAGAACGATGGAGCAAAGTCTCTTCAATTTTCAAAGCCTCTTCTACAATTCTGCTTTGTTCAAATCGCCTAAAACTCCCCAGTAATTAAAAAATTTTTACTCTCAAAAAACTAGAAATTCCGCAGCTGAAGAAAATTGCACGTATTACACTGGGCTATCGCGCCTCTGCTATGGGTTAAGCATCGCAGTGTTTTAATGCCAATTTGGTTCACACAGTGATTTATGGAGCCTACTGATTATACCGAAAGAATAGCCGATCCCGGAAGGATGTAGGATTTCGTTAGCCCAGCTCACGGGATCGAACAAAAGACCACATGTCTATTGCTGAAAACATCTAGCCATTATGCTACACGTGAGCATAACGTATTGGATATCTCCGGTAATCTAAAGCGATATTGAGCGTCTACCGACTGCTAATAATAACCCAAAATTTTTGAACTTCTTCGTCCACCTATCAATCAGAGAATTAGCAGTATTCTTTCACTGTAGTAGCCAATAGTGCTGATAATTTACCTAAGGATAACGGCGGTTGAGAGATGGAGGAAAGAACACAAAAGTAAAAGTGGCGCTCACCGATGGAACAACATCAACAGCAACACGCTGGCAAACGATGACAGCATGATGTATTCGCAGATCTTCAGTCCATTTCGATAGTATGTTACCAACGAGAATGTGATATCTGGTAATGGAGGTTGTTGTGGTACGCGTTCGTGGACGAACGATAGCACTACCTCGTTCAGTACGGCGGCAAATGCAAGTAATATAAAAGAGATCTGAAGACGAAATAAATAAGTAAATAGATGAAAGAATGAACGAATGAATGAAGAAAGAAATTATGAAAACAGTTGTGCTTTAATCACTCTTTTTTTCTTTAATAAAAACTTAAAGTGCTCAACGAAAACTTAGGAAAAAGAGCCCGACGACAGCAGTAATGATTTTATAGGCCATTTCTACATTTAAAGAAGACAACACGCGAGACCATGGCACAATAAATAGTATTATTTTAATGATGCTGAGATATTTGAAAAACTCCGGACCGCAGGTGTCTGCGATGAGGAACGAACGCGCAATTACCCTTTCCGGAGGCTAACGCGTTCACCACCTCACCATGCGGGTCCTTCGTTTCGCCTATCTCTCATCTAGTTCTATCGATCACTGCCATCAGCAATCACTCGTCAACGGGATTGATCCGGAGAGCCCAAATCGGACCCCAGGTGTCTGCGGTGGTGAACGCGTTAGCCTCCGGAAAGGGTGGTAATAGCGCGTTCGTTCCCCACCGCAGACACCTGCGGCCCGGAGTTTTGGAAATATTTCAACATCGTTGAATTATACTTCGTCACAAACCCTGCCTTTAAAAAGAGTAGGCAATAAATAATAAGTTAAAATAGCATTATTTTATTTGTATGCGAGACTCGTCTTCACATATAATAATCATTTGTTTCGTTCCCTTTTGTTCTGCATCTCCGACCGCCGAATTTGTGTGTGGGTTCGGCAGCAAGTTGAGGACTGTCTTCTTCATGATTGACTTGAAATGCTGGTCGATTACATTCTGTTTGGAACCCTGAGGTAGCTTTATCAGAGAATTTTTAAGGTTTTCCACAGGCAGTTGCTGATCTTTCTGGTTCAGAAGGAGCTTAGAGCTTTTTCTGTCAACATTCGAAGCAATTTGCTGTTCTCGGAAGGTTGTGAAGTTTAGTTGGATGAGGACTGGATCGAACCAGCCACCGCGCGTCTATTACTGGACGGCATCTCTAACCAGCACAAGTCTATGCTACGTTTAATTACACTTTCGACTGTTGCAACTATCACGTCCTGCATAGGTCCACTCCACCTTCGACGTAGTGCTTACATCTCACTATTACCAAAAGAAAAATAGGTTTGTAACTAAGTTCCAACAAAATAACCGTCAATGGTGGGTGATCACATACGGCATCGTGTTAATCTCCATAACTGAGCGATAAAAGTCCATTGCTCGCATAGCTATATAAAAATAATGTGAGCACAATAGCACCGAAAACCATTTTGCATGTGTAGATTTTAGACTGATTGTACTCGTTCCTGAAAACACTCTAGAATGGCTGATGTAAACCAAGTTTAACCGAGTTCTATTCAACGGCAAAAAATTTAGGTGGTACAAAATAATATTTGCTTTAAACGAAAAGGGATTGGAAAAATCCTTTTCGTCATCCATTCTAAGATTGTTAGTTAGTGACTTAAACGAATCCTAATTTTTTAAAATCTACAGTGGCTCATCGTAAAACGCGAGTAGCGCAGTGATTAGAGGTGACCTCCAATATTCACTGGATCGATTGCTGGTTCGATCCTACACCTAGGGCTCACAAAGTTTCCTATCCTTCTGCGGTCGGAAAATTGTAACCAGACTTGTCTGGGAGAGCAGCAGCACCAAGATGATACATCACCTCTACGATGATAATGGAGTGGAATGCAAGGTGCATGCTTTGGCAATTGAATAACCCTCAATGTTTTAACATTTACCCTTACCTTTCATAAGGTAGTTACTATGAACAAACTTAGCAAGATTCCTATGACCGTTGCTTTCGACATCCGTAAAAACGTCAAATTCTCTCCTTTAGCAAAAAAAGAGAAAGAAAAAAGAACTCTGCCTACTAAACATGGGCAAGAAGAACGTCAAGAGCTAATTCGAATCGAGCAACATGAACTAATAAAAACCTTTGTAAAAAGTTTTGATCTGTTCAAAATCCTTTAAATAGTTGAAAAAAAAACTTGACATCTACAAAAAAATCGACAGGGTCATCCGAAAATTGAAAAGATTTCATGGAACCTTCAGTAATCGACAATTCATTAGTCACAACCTTAACCCATTTTTACTCACATAATAGATCAGAAATGCTTCCAATAACAAAACCTGGTGAAAAAAAGTCTGAAACAAGTAGAAGTGAAAATTTTTTCGGTTGTTAGCTCTCATTACAAGAAAACACTTTTAAGGCCAACACTTGAAAGAAACAAAAAAAAACTAGTAAAGTCTTATGAACAATAGAAAATGGTTCACCTTATTGAAGGCTGGAGATAACTTGACAACGAAACTGAAAGGAATCAAAGGAAATAGCTAAAGATAGGCATACCAATTGTGGACTGAAACGAACTTTCGTATATGTTTGGAGCTTCCAATGTGATTCTTTGTGATCTAAAACTCAGTATGACCACATATAGGTTTTCGTTAAAACCAAAAATTCCATTGCCAAATATCACCCATCCGTGAACTGAGCTCCCTCTATTGTGGCGTCGAAGTGGTTGAATACGTACTGGGCCTATACAGTGGCTTGCCAAGGTCTACCAATGTACCAAGCTATTAGTTTTTTTTTATTCTCCAAACAAGTGCGGTATTAATTTGCTGATCTCGAATGGATTTCTTGGCCAAAGTCAACAGATCGAACCAACGACTTCATGAGCACTACAGGGCATCTTTACCATTGTGCTACCACTCACCAATGCTTTTAGGCGTTCTTTCGGAAATTTATCGTGTGGCGATGCCGGCTTCTCGTCGCCAAGCATGTCGATGTTCACTTGCTGTGGTGCCCTAAGGTCCGTCAGTAGGGGAGCATCGTCAGCAGTGTCGCTGTCGCTCGCCGTCGAGTCCGCCGAACCGCCACACACTCGACGCGACATCGCGGTGCTGCACAAACCGCGCGACGAAGACGACGACGCTGACGACGTCGGTTCATCTTCCATCACTGAAATAGCCAAAGTGAACAGCTTTCTTCGTAACCATCAGAATATGTCGAAAACAAAAAAGAAAAAACCGATTAAAGAAAAAATTAAAATAAATAAAATTTAAAAAAACAATTAAAAGACGCTGATTGTTTTATCAGTGATTAACTAAAGAAGTACACGAATAAATGTGCGCATAGTAGAATGCGGTACAAAGAAGATGTCGATAAAATCCTGAACCTGATCGATAAGCATGTTTTCAACAGAGTATGGAGGGGTAAAGCAGAAATTCCACGAGATAAAAAACTACTAATGCAAAAAAAAATGCATTTAGACATCAGCTTCTCATAATAGGTTGTCATACCGAAAAACATTTTGGGATCAACTTTCGAAATCTACTATCTATAATTTCCTTATGAAACCTCTTGAATACATTTATTAGGCATTTATTATATTTCGCAACATACCCTGCCGTTAAGAAGAATAGGCAGTAAATAAAAAGGTTAAGATTGTGATTATAACTATAGCCTCAGCTTAACTGGGTTCAATGCCAATTTGGGCTCCTCATATCAATCCAGTTGACGGGTGATTGCTGATGGTAAGTGATCAAATTTCAATATTTAGGAAAGGAAATTAGGAGAAAAAGGCTTTGTTATACTTCGTTTATTTCCGAACATAACTCCATATGGTACCGGGTTGTAAAAGAACAGCAAATAGAACGAATACTTTTTAAGAGTGCCAGATAAGAGGAGGAGGAAAACAGCTAATTCGGCTATTAGGTGGGTAGAGTTTCCCAATGACATTACTTATTCTACGTGATAAACACTAAATATCTAGTAATCTACCCCTTTTAATTATTAAACAGAAACTCTATTAAAATGAATTTATGAATTTAGTAACTAGAAAATTCGAAAACACGAACGTCTGTGCTAAGAACTATGATCTAATAAAGAACATTTGGAGAGACATAATGAAGAACTAATCAAAATACTAATCACCGAAGGAAATCTATAGGTACGAGTAATTTACATCCACCATCATCCATCCAAGCTACAGCATCCTAACCGGCATTTATAGTAATCTTCAAGAGCGTCAAGGATGTAATAAGAACAACAAGTAACACTCTATTCGGTGTCCACCTTTTTCGACTCCACGAATCTCTTAGCCTTAATGTATTCATGAGAAATCTGGTCGCTACGTATGACGGACAAAAGATCACTACGAGTTATAGAAACCGAAGTTGAAAAGAAGATGATACGCGTTTCGTTGTTTTATTGAAGCTGCTGTACACTATCTGACAAAGCGAATGGCACCGAGCCTTGACACTGAGTCCATGCTATGGTTGAAGACCCCGTACTCGTTCTCCGGCCACTATCCTACTGTAGGCACATCGACTACCAGATCTGTTCGCTGATAATGATACCAGTTGCTACAGAATGGATTGTCTGGAGAAAAACGAACTGTTATCAACGTATAATCACTATCGACACCAATAGCCCTGTATAAAAGACCATTTCCGAGTGATATTTTTCTATAGAGCGATCCTTCACTATGTTCAACTCGATGCGATCGCGAAGACTCGCATAGGGAAGAAGAACTGTGAACAATCGACTTCGATTAATCCGGCACTGACGAAGGTGAAGGCGACGAAACTTTAGCTGAATAAAGTTTTTGTAAGCCTAGTGTTAGTATCTCAATGAACGAATATATATTGGCTATTGTTTTGTCATCTGCTAAGCACAAGAGGAGATGGACGTTTTAAATTGCTAAACCGCCAGTCAGATACATAGATTTCACACGAGATAAGCCGAAAAAAGACTGGTTCCCGTTCTTGAACGTTCACATCAACGTGTCAAAACGTTTGTATTCTAAATGGTACGGAAAACCAAGTAACAAAAACATTCTGGTTCATTATGGCTACGAAGTGGTAGCTGCTCGGTATAGGTTTAGAGAAAAAGCATGTACCAACCCATAAGTCTGGTGAAAACAAGTTCCCGCTTATGTTGCACTCCATTTCCAACGAAATATGTGCTGCTACACAACGTTGGTTAGAAAGGACTGGTTTAGAGAAATAGGTAACAGTGACTGAAATGCCACCGAAAACTCTAAGATGTGAGCTCGTTCGTAACTGATTGTACGACCGTATGTGCGGAACGCAAAATTGCATAATATGCCCCAATGGTAGAGATGGAAATTGCACGAGTTCGTATATGATGTAACCTAATCTCTTGTGAAGGGTGCAGGGACGGATACGTTGGAAAAGTGGGTAGATCACTCCTTGTTCTTATAAGGGAACACCTAGTCGGTAAATTTAAAGTTAGTCCAAATACTCTACTAGGTGCACATACGACACAGAGAAAGTGGAAGACTTTGAAGTAAAAACCACTATCCATGCACTGGAATCCAACGCATGAGCACGTAAACTTCGCTGCGTCCAGAATGAGTTCCAAAATTCTAAAAATGAATTGCAGGGAGGAGTGGCTCGTGATCATGCGTGACTCGCGGCATATCTCAAGCTGACTTTTTAATCTCAGCCAAGTACAATCCTCATCCATGCAGGACTCTGTGCAGCTAGGCTCCAACAATAACTGAAAGACTTAAAAGAACAAAACGGTGAGTGCTTAAAACAAGCTGTTTAATATGCGAATAAAGTTTATCAAGTTTTATCTGCTGTGGTTATGAAGGTCTTTGACTGAGTAGGCCGAATGTCGGTCTCACCGTTCCAGACTCTGAACAAAAAAAAACCGCCGAAACGTCAGCTATTGGGAATGAATAAATACTGTAATAACAGACTCGCGCTCGCACATCAAGAAAACATTGACTTATTGATCAACACGGACAATAGAAGAAAATCAGTACTAGGATTTATTACAATGTTATACCTTTTTATTTTCTGTCTACTATAATTTCGCGGCAGGGTCCTAAGCGAAATACAACCACAACGTTGCTGAGATATTTGCAAAACTCCGGACCGCGGGTGTCTATGGTGGGGAACGAACGCGCTATTGTCCTTTCCGGGGAGTAACGCGTTCACCACCACACCATGCGGGTCCTTTGTTTCCTGATGTTTCCCGCTGACGGGCGATTGCTGTGGCAAAGATCGATAGAAATAGCTGAGAGACAGGCGAAACAAAGGACCCGCATGGTGTGGTGG